TTGGTAAGACCCCATTTGGAATACTGCATCCCGTTTTGGTCTCCATGATACAAAATAAATGTTGAGACTCTAGAAAGAGCGCAGAGAAGAGCAACAAAGATGATTAGAGATCTGGAGGCTAAAACATATAAGGAACGGTTGCTGGAATTGGGTATGTCTAGTTTAATGAAAAAAGAAGGATGAGGGGTGACATGATAGCAGCCTTCCAATATTTGAGGGGCTGCCCCAAAGAAGAGGGAGTCAAGCTATTCTCCAAAGCGCCGGAAGGCAGGACAAGAAGCAACGGATGGAAACTAATCAAGGAGAGAAGCAACCTAGAACTAAGGAGAAACTTCCTGACAGTGAGAACAATTAACCGGTGGAACAACCTGCCTCCAGAAGCTGTGAATGCTCCAACACTGGAAGTTTTTAAGAAGAGACTGGACAGCCATTTGTCTGAAACGGTAGGGTTTCCTGCCTGAGCAGGGGGAAGGTCTAGAAGACCTCCAAGGTCCCTGCCAATTCTTTTATTCGAAAAATGGCAATTACTTCCAGTTTTCCACAAAACCAGCCCCAGAGTGAACCATGGAATCATTTAAAAACCGCCCGGTTTGGTTTTAAGAGAAGCTGCATTCACTCAAAAAAATTCTGTCGATTTGGGTTGCTCACATGATTTCCATCTATCACAACTTACAAAACGGCAAGGTGCAGGCTCCTTTACTGTCGTAGGACAAGGAGTACCTGTACTAAAGTAAAAGCTTCACAAAGCTTTTCAGTGCCGACACCTGCTATTGATTCTGGTGCACAAAGAAGGCACGACACCATACACGGGGGGCTGCGTGTTGTCGCTTTAGCTAAAGTCTCCTCATCCATTCATGGGCCAGGCTGAGATCCCGCAGCAGGTCTCCCTGTTGCAGCCTTAACGGATCGCTCTAAAGCAGTGGTTCTCAACCTGTGGGTCGGGACCCCATTTGGGGTCGATCGACCATTTCACGGGGGCCGCCAAGCAAGCCTGTCCGCCATTTTTTTTGTCCGCCATTTTTCCCCCCTTTTCCGGCGGGTGCCTTAACTCCCTTGGGCTGGGCCAGCTGGTGGTCGGCCTGCTCCGTCTCTGCCGCTTGCCAGCTACGCCTCGGCCGGCGCAGGGGGCGGAACCACGCATGCACGGCGCTCCCGGGCAGGGAAAGTCCTCGACTTACGACCGGTTGGGTAGTCCTCGACTTACGACCGGTTTAGTCCTCGACTTACGACCGGTTTAGTCCTCGACTTACGACCGATTGGGGTCGCGACATTAAAAAGGTTGAGAACCACTGCTCTAAAGGATTTGCAAACTTCGTTCTCAGCCCAGCAGACGAGAGAAAGCAATTAGCGTCTCGCATCCGTTACCGAGAGAGAAATTCAACACAGTCTCTTTTGAAAGGAACGAATCAAAACCATCACAACCAGCCCGCCTTCCATGGAGGACCTGAATAATGCACGGACGAGAAGGAGGGCTAAGAAAATATCTAGGGACCCCCCTCACATCCTGGACACCTCAAACTGTTTCCAACTCCTTCCCCTCTGGACGCCGCTGTAGGGCACTGCATGGCAAAACAACCAGGCACAACCTCCCCCCCTCCCCACCCCATGCCATCTCTCTGCTGAACACCTAATTCCCACAGCAGTATTGTCTCGTTTCTCATCTTTCCTATTATCTTCTCCTGTTGGTTTCTTATGATTTATCCCTTGTTGTTTGTAACTTACAATTAGTGATTGTAACTGTGATTATGACCCATGATCTATTACTTGCTGCTTATATGTACACTGGGAACTTCTGCACGGGAGACAAATTCCTTGTGTGTCCCATCACCCTTGGTCAATAAAGAATTCTATTCTATTCTGTTCTGTTCTGTCCTGCCCTATTCCTTATCCTATATTCTATCCTATCCTATTCCATTATTCTTTATTCCATTCTATAATTCCATAATTCTATTCTATTCCATAATTCTATTCTATCCTATTCCATTCCATTCCATTCCTATTCCATTCCATTATTCTCTATTCTATTCTGCTCTATCCCATAATTCTATTCTATTCTGCTCTATTGTATTCTGCTCTATCCCATAAGTCTATTCCAGTGATGGCGAACCTTTTAGAAACTGAGTGCCCAAAACCCACTTATGCATCGTCGGGTGCCGGGTGGGTGTGGCCCATTGGGTAGGTGTGGCCCATTGGGTGGGTGTGGCCCATTGGGTGGTCGTGGCTGTGGTGGTAATGGCAGACTGGGTGGGACTAAAAAGTTCAATCAATCAATTCCAACTTTGCAAGATCTTTTTTTTTCCCGTGAGAAGTTGAAATTGACTGATTGATTTAACCTTTTTTTTTTTTGCACACAGCAGCGAAGGCCTAAAGCGAAAAGGTTTTATAAAACCCAGCTGAAGGCCTAGGACTGGGGCGACGGCGCGCGTGCCCACAGAGAGGCCTCTGAGTGCCGCCTCTGGCACCCATGCCATAGGTTCGCCACCACTGGTCTATTCTATTCTATCCCATAATTCTATTCTATCCCATAATTCTATTCTACTCTATTCCATTATTCTCTATTCTATTCTGCTCTATTCTATTCTGTTCTATTCTATTCTGCTCTATCCCATAATTCTATTCTATTCTATCCCATAATTCTATTCTACTCTATTCTATCCCATAATTCTATTCTACTCTGCTCTATTCTATTTTATCCTATAATTCTATTCTATTCTATTCCATTCCATCCCATAATTCTATTCTATTCTATTCCACTCCATTCCATTCTATTCTATCCCATAATTCTATTCTATCCCATAATTCTATTCTATTCCAGTCTATCCCATAATTCTATTCTATTCTATTCTATCCCATCATTCCATTCCATTCCATTCTTATTCTATTCCATTCCATATTCCATTCCAAATAAACATAGATGTAATATTGCTTCTTAGTTAGGACATCCGATGAAGCAGGCATATCTGTAGTGTAATAAATCTCTGCATTACAGGAAGTCCTTGACTTACAACCATCCGTTTAATGACTGTTCAAAGTTACAAAGGCCCTGAAAAAGGTGACACAAACATTTTTAACATTTATGACCATTGCAGCATCCCCACGATCGGGTGATCAAAATTCACCCGCTTGGCAACCGGCTCACATTTATGACTCGCGACCTTCTGACGAGCAAAGTCAACGAGGAAGCCAGATTGACTGAACCACCGTCATTACTAATGTGGCGAGAAAAGTCATAAAATGGGGGAAAGCTCACTTAAAAGGATCTCGCTTAGCAACAGCAATGTTGGGCTTGATTGTGGTTGTAAGTTAAGGTTGTAAGTTAAATTAAGGTTGTAAGTTAACTCCAAGATGAGGGCTCCATGAGTCTCAGGTTGCCTAGTACAGGGCTCTCCCAACAGCCAATTTAAGAGTTGTGGACTTCAACTCCCAGAATTCCAGCTGGGGAATTCTGGGAGTTGAAGTCCACAAGTCTCGCAAGTTCCCAAGGTTGGAGACCCTTGGTTTACTAACACAAAGATCCACAAGGGGCTCCTGAGCAACCACACCATTGCCACACCATTGTGAGAAAACATCAGTGGCAAATCTAATACTCTAAAAACAAAATCTAGGGCAGGGCTTTTCAACCTTTTCACCCACTGTACCACTTTTAGGATATGGTAACTTCCGAGTACCACCAGTCGCCTAGCAAGGTGTCCAAAACTTGATGACCCCCCCAAAAAAGTGATAAAGTACAGGTAGTCCTTGACTTACAACAGTTCGCTTAGTGACTGTTTGAAGTCACAATGGCACTGAAAAAAGTACCCCGAGTCACAGCCGAGCAAGACACCTGCCTGCCCACCCAACGGCACTCTTCCTCCTGTCCGAGGTTTTCATTGTTGTGAGCATTTCTGTTGAGGATTGGCAGCGGGGGTGGGGTGGGGGGGTGTTTGGTTTTTATTCCCCCCGTCTGCTGGGTGGTTGCAGCAGGTTGTGGTCCCTTCACATGACCCTGGGACACTGTGACCGTCATAAATATGAATCAGTTGCCAAGCATCTGAATGTAAACCACAAGACCCTGGAGAGGCTGCAACACTCCAGCTGATCCTGGCGCTTCTTCTGGGCTCAGCGGAAGCGTCAGGATCAGCGCTGAGCTCCAGCTGGAGCCTGGCGCTGATCCTGACGCTTCCGCTGAGCCCTGACAGCCCTGCAGCTCCAGCCGTCTCTCGCTCAGGCTTGTGCGGTGCTGCCACCGGTTCAGCTCATTCCCCTCCCCAGCTACCATTTTTCTAGGATGGTTGCGTACCACCTGCCGTGTGCCAATGTACCACAGGTGGTACCCGTACCACAGGTTGAAAAGCCCTGATCTAGAGGACATCCACTGGCGTACACACACACAAACACACACACACACACCAACTTTAAAGTCAGCCAGATCCAAAAGTGCTAAAAGTTCCTCCTGTGGAGAAAAGACCTTGGGGTTCTACCTACCGCTGGAGGGCTTGCGGACCCCCCGGAGCAGGTGGGGGGCTTCCCTCGCCATTTCTGTCCTGTTGCAAAGAGTGCTGGGCAGAACCGAGGAGCTGCTGCTGCTGCTCTCGTCGCCAACCGGCTTCCCCGCCAACCCTGGGAAAAAGAGCCCCCGGTGAGCGAAGGCGTCCGCGGCTGCCGGCGACCTTCCACCCTGCCAGCCCAGCTTCACTGAGTGGGAGAGTCGCGGCAGGGCAGGGCAAGCCCCAGCAGAGGGTTAGGGGCCCTGGCTCTGCCCACGGTATCTGTTGACTGAAGGGAGGGCAGGGGATGCCCGGGGGACAAGAGGGGTAGTCCTCAACTTGCAAGGGGGACTGAGCCTGGAAGGAACGGCTGTTGAGTGGTGTGCCGGTTCGTTAAGCCGGGGATGACGTGACTGCCTTAAAAGGAACTGGGTTAAAAGGAGTAGCCAAAATGGATGGATGGATGTATACATAGATAGATGATACATATAGATTAGAGATGATAGACAGATAGGTAGATAAGATGGATGGATGGATATAGATAGAGATAAATAGATGGATAGGATGAATGGACAGATGATCTATCTCTAGATAGATGATACATATAGATTAGAGATGATAGAGATAGTTAGGTAGATAAGATGGATGGATGGATATAGATAGATAGAAAATAGATCTATCTATAGATAGATGATATATATAGAGAGAGATGATAGACAGACAGATAGGTATGTAAGTAAGTAGTAAGTAGGTAGGTAGGTAGGGATGGATGGATGGATGATAGGCATACATAGATGGGCCAGAATTTATACCTTGCAGGACAGTGTTTTTAACTATAGGAACGTTAAGATGGGTAGACTTCAACTCCCAGAATTCCCCAGACATCTTACCATTCCCAAGCTTGAATAACCCTTGCTTTCAGCGAAGACCAAGTCAGTCACAGCAACTAGGAACGCTTGTGAGCGACTTGAGGCTGCGGATCGGAGAGGCCACATGGGTGTGGTAGTCCGGGGGGGGGGGAAGAGCTTCCACTTACCGGAAGAGGGTTCCATGTGGGCCCCATTTACTTTCAGGGGTGTCAGGACCACACGGGGAAGCATCATGCCTGCCTTTTTCTTCTGCTTGCTCACCTGTTTCGAAGGAAACGGAGGAGAGAGCGTTGCTGGGGGGGGGAAGACGGAGGAAGCCCAAAGACCGAGCCTCTTGCTTTCTCGGCAGGCAGGATCGAAGGCCCCGGCCCCCGGCATTTCGGGACAGCTCGGCCTAGTGGTCATAACCTCAGAAGTGAAACAAAGGCAGCTTTTCCAAAAGACCTTCATGGGTTGCCAATGGAGCAGGCAGGTGGTGCTCCTCTACTACACCGCCTCCAGACAGGTAACCCTTGACTTACGGCCACAGTAAGTGGTCTGTTGCTTGAGCAGGGGGCTGGACTAGAAGACCTCCAAGGTCCCTTCCAGCTCTATTCTATTCTATTCTATTCTATTCTATCCCATAATTCTATTCTATTCTGCATTTCTATTCCATTCCATTCTATTAATTCTATTCTATTCCATCTTCTATTCTATTCTATATTTCTATTCTATTCTATATTTCTATTCTATTTTATATTTCTATTCTATTCTATATTTCTATTCTATTTTATATTTCTATTCTATATTTCTATTCTATTCTATTCCTTATTCTCTTCTATATTTCTATTCTCTTCTATATTTCTATTCTATTCTATATTTCTATTCTCTTCTATTCTAATTTTCTATTCTACTCTATATTTCTATTCTATTCTATATTTCTATTCTATATTTCTATTCTATATTTCTATTCTATTCCTTATTCTATTCTATTCTATATTTCTATTCTATATTTCTATTCTATATTTCTATTCTCTTCTATATTTCTATTCTATTCTATTTTTCTATTCTATTCTATATTTCTATTCTATTCTATTTTATTCTATTTTATTCCTTATTCTATTGTATTCCTTATTCTATTCTATTCTATTCTATTCTATTCATTTCTATTCTAATTTTCTATTCTACTCTATTCTATTCGATTAAAGTGAGAAATTTGTTAAGTACGTTTTGTCCCATTTTATGACCTTTCTTGCCTCCGTTGTTAAGGGAATCACTGTAGCTGATAAATTAGTAACCTGGTTGTTAAGTGAAATCTGGCTTCCCCATGGATTTCACTTGCCAGAAGATCACGTGACCCATCCATGCCCATCTCAGACCCCTGGGTTGGTAAGTGCCTGTGAAGACTCTCTTCCCCTTTAGCGTATATTCGGTGGCTTCACTCCCCATTTCTATTCACACCCGGTCACCGGCACACCAGCTCTCCTCCAGAAAGATAATCCAGGGGTGCTTTTGCTCCAGTTATTCTATCCAGGTCAGCAAAAGATACTTAGGTGAGTCATCCAGGCCTTGTCTTTGGGGGATTGTTAATAAAAATCTGGACAAGCTTTGGCCAAATGCCTCTCTAGCAATCAAGAGGCGCTCTCCACGCCCGGCTCTGTGCCAAATTCCAGATCCAACGGGCAAAGAAGATTGCCACCACTCAACCTCGCTTCCCTCGCCAATCTCTGCCCCACAAGTCAAGACACAACTTTGCGGCACAAGGGAATTCTGCAGCTGCCGCTTCCTTTTTCTACTTCACGAGGCTCTTTGAAATCTTCCCACGTTTAATGTCGTTTAAAGTGGGTCACACGCTAGCGGGGGTGGGGGGGCGCAGCAGTTTATAAACACAGAGAAAGCTCTCCGCCGTGAACCCCACGGTGGGTGTTAATTAGAAGCAAAGGAGGGCAGTTCAGGTGGAATAAAGGCAGCTTCCTCTTGGTGACCCAGCTCTGGGGCCGTGCTCACCTGCCCCCCCTGTAAACTCCTCTCCGGCCCTTCCTACCTGTGATGCTGTTCTGGTGCTCTCCCGGAGAGCAAGGCTGCTCTTGCTTTGGGACTCCGTGGAACAGGAGGCGTTGGAAGAGGTTTCGTCCAGAGACACTGGAAAGGAAGGATCAGATCATTGGAAGGCAGCCTGGACGGGCGGTTCTGGGGCACCCAGGGTGACCCACATTATGCCACCGTGTTGGGAGCGCCACTGAGGGCCACTTTGCTTCCCGGGTTCAATTCAAGGGCTACAGCTGCCAAAAAGGCCAACACAGTGCTAGGCTGCATTAACAGAGGGATAGAATCAAGATCACGTGAAGGGTTAATACCACTTTACAAGGCCTTGGTAAGGCCACACTTGGAATACGGCATCCAGTTTTGGTCACCACGATGTAAAAAAGATGTTGAGACTCTAGGAAGAGTTCAGAGAAGAGCAACAAAGATGATTAGGGGACTGGAGGCTAAAGCATATAAGGAACGGTTGCTGGAATTGGGGATGTCTAGTTTAATGAAGAGAAGGACGAGGGGGGACATGAGAGCAGTGTTCCAATCTCTCAGGGGCTGCCCCAAAGAAGAGGGAGTCAAGCTATTCTCCAAAGGGCCTGAAGGCAGGACAAGAAGCAACGGATGGAAACTAACCAAGGAGAGAAGCAACCTGGAACTAAGGAGAAACTTCCTGACAGAACAATTAACCAGTGGAACAACCTGCCTCCAGAAGCTGTAAATGCTCCAAACACTGGAGGTTTTTAAGAAGAAACTGGACAGCCATTTGTCTGAAATGGTATAGGGTTTCCTGCCTGAGCAGGGGGTTTGACTCGATGACCTCCAAGGTCCCTTCCAACTTTATTATCATTATCATTATCATTATTGATCATCGCACAGTCAGCCAGATGTTCAGACTGGATTTGGCATTTTTGTCTGCCTGTCGAGTCCTTCCCAAGGACCTGGGATAGGCAGATGTGGATGTTGGATGGTATTACAGATCTCGTCGCAGGATGGAAGCAGTTCCTAGTAAGGCCGCCTTTTGCAATTGACTAATGGCGAATTTGTCAATGCCGATGATGGTGTCCAAGTGGTGCTCCAGTTGTTTTGGGATTGCACCCAAGGCGCCTATTACTATTGGTACTACCCTTGCTTGCCTTTGCCACAGTTTTTCTATTATTGTTGTTGTTGTTATTATTATTATTGTTATTACGTTGGTTATCAGCTTTAAAGGCCTAGGACCAGGCTATCTGAGGAATCATCTCACCCTGAGGGGATGACCCTGTCCCAACCGTGCTGGTGGAGGAAGCACGCTGTGGACCTGTCAGTCAAGAAATGCTGCCTGATGGGATACAGGAGAAGAGCTTTTCTGCTGTGGCTCCTGCCCTTTGGAACATCGTGCCCCCGAGGTGAGATCCCCCTCCCCGCCCTTGGTCTTCTGAAAGAGCCTGAAGATCTGGCCCTGCCAACTGGCCTGGGCCCTCAATGGGGATGCATCATTCTGGAGGTGGCTCATTGACTAAGACTCCACCCCCCCGCCCCCCCAATGCACCTTTCTCCCCATCGCTGTCAATTTTAAATTAATTTAATGGGAGCCTTGGTGGCGCTGTGGTTAGAATGCAGTGCTGCAGGTAAACTATTCCAGGCTGACTCTGTCCACTGCCGGGAGTTCGATCCTGACCAGCTCAAGCTCCACTCAGCCTTCCTTCCTTCCGAGGTCGGTAAAATGAGGACCCAGATTGTTGGGGGGCAAGATGCAAATGATGTCTCTACATTGTAAGCTGGGCTTTCAAGCGCTACGGGGGCGGTCTAGAAGACTTGAGTGCTACTGCTATTTATTGTTCTCATGTTTTTAATTACCCGGAGTTCGCTCCAAGAGAGATCGGCGGCGTATAAGTTGAATAAATAAATAAATAAATAAATAAATAAATAAATAATAATAAAGTTGGAAGGGACCTTGGAGATCATCTAGTCCAACCCCCTGCTCAGGCAGGAAGTCCTACACCATTTCAGACAAAGGGCTGTCCAGTCTCTTCTTTAAAACTTCCAGTGTTGGAGCGTTCACCGCTTCTGGAGGCAGGTTGTTCCACTGGTTAATTGTTCTCACTGTCAGGAAGTTTCTCCTTAGTTCTAGATTGCTTCTCTCCTTGGTTAGTTTCCATCTGTTGCTTCTTGTCCTGCCTTCAGGCGCTTTGGAGAATAGCTTGACTCCCTCTTCTTTGGGGCAGCTCCTGAGATATTGGAAGACTGTATCATGTCCCCCCTTGTCCTTCTTGTCATTAAACTAGTCCAGGGCTAGGCAACCTTGGCTCTTTTGTGACTCGTGGACTTCAACTCCCAGAATTCCTCAGCCAGCCATGCTGAGGGGAAAGGGAGAGGTTTCCAAGCTGAGCCATGCTGGCTCAGGAATTCTGGGAGTTGAAGTCCACAAGTCATGAGGGGGCCATAGTTCCCCCATGCTGGCTCAGGAATTCTGGGAGTTGAAGTCCACGAGTCATAAAAGAGCCAAGGTTGCCTAGCCCTGAACTAGACATACCCAATTCCAGCAACCGTTCCTTGTAGGTTTCAGCCTCCAGTCCCCTAAATAGCATCCACATCCATTGAGAAAGCGGCTGGAGCAAGCTCGGAGTAGGAGCACACTTACCATCATTATCCCCGCTCACAGTGCTGGCAGCTTCATTGGAACCACTGCTCTCGGCGTCATCCAGCTCTTCTCCTTCAGGTCCGGCGAGGGTCCGAGACCACTGGGCAGCAGCTTTCTGGAAGAACCAATCAGAGCTTGGAGTAGTAGCAAAGCACAATTCCCTCCCCTAATTTACAGTCATAAATCACATTCTCCAATTAGCTTGAAATGCAGGCCTTCCCTCCTTTACTCCAGCCCGCCATTTCTTATCAGTCTCTTATTTCAAAAGCCCTGAATTCACACCTATTACAATATTGTTATGTCTAACTAACTCCCCTCACATTCCTCCTCCTCCCCCCAGTATCATCTAACTCTAAGAGTAAAGCATAAGAAAAAGGCTGCATCTCAATATGTTGTCAAAGCAAGAACATCCAACAGTTAGCAGCATTGACAGCTTGGTTGTTTGCTTGCAGACTTTTCATTACCCAACTAGCAACTGAGCTGAGGAGTGTGTAGAATTTGCTTCCTGTTTATACATGGTGGCTTGCTCTGCCCGTGTTGGTGTGTGTGTGTGTGGTTCCTCCTTGATAATTTCTTGATTAGGCTA